TTTGGGTAGGGGTTATTGTGGTTCTGTTGGTGTTGCATACCTGAAGATCTTCATTTCGCTAACGGCTACGGTATGACGACGGCACCAGGAGCGATGCGATGACTATCTATCCGCGATGAACATGGACGAAGAAGAATTTGTCCTCCCCGCGGATGGGTGTCCCTGAGAACAAACCGAGCTGACGGTTCATCGTCAGGATGCGAACAACGCACACCATCTCTCTCGCTCGTACTTACTACATCTTGACCATAATCTCCGCGAAAAAAGAGAACATGGTAGCTTGCCAATCTCCCAGCTTGCAGCGACGTGCCGTTTGAGCAATGGCGATAAAGACGAAGTTGCGAGAGAGAGAAAAAATGGGGATGATTAGCGGACTTTTACCTATTCTTAGCTCCCCTTGCATTCATTCCTTTTGCAAAAGTCCAGAACGCTCAAAACGAAAGCGCCCATGACCCTTTGCAAGCCGCGTTTTCATTAGCACTCCCGAGGAAACTTGCACCCCAGCACGAAAGCGTTCTTGACTAGTCAAATGTGCAATCTGCCGCAAATGCGCTTTTCATGTACGATGACGACGCAACAAGGTGGCGGGTTGATGTTGGTTTCTCGTTCGTGGTTCGCGCTCAAAGTTGTTGCCAGAGAGTGGTTTCGGCAAGGTGTAAAAAGGTAGGGGTTGAAAGCAAGCCCTGTACTGTATAGCCCTGCAGGTACGAACTTGGAGAACAACGTGTTTTACTGGGCATGCAGGAAAGATTGCGCTAGAGTTGGAGAGACACGAACACGAATGGATTTGTTCGTGTAAAGACGATAGCCGTTTTTTTCTCTCTTAACACACACACAAGGGCTGCAGGTACGAAGGCAACTGAGGTCAAGAAAGACATGTATTCTATGCTGGGGAAGTGTCGGTGTGTTCAATAGCAAGAAACACGAACACGAACACGAGCCTGGTTGTCTATGTGGAGATGTACTATCGTTCTTTCCCCCATACATCTCTTTTGTTACACGAGTTGTTCGAGTCGCAAAACTCGCACTACGGTTATAATCATCGAATATGACAGCTGTCAAATGCTCGCATTTTGCCAAAGATGTTTCCACTGTGGCTTTTTTAAGGCTATGAATTCCACAAAGATCCACCAACAGTCTCGAGTCACAAACGTAGGCGCGAAGCGGGTTTACGACATGAAACACGAAACGAAAAAGACAAGATGCGACAAGTTAACTCATCGATGATACGAGATAACACCGGGGCGGACTATAGGTGGGTTAGGCGGGGGTTGACACTCGAAACAGAAAACAACAAATGTGACAAACATGTGTTTGAACAGGGAAGAAACGGTTTTGTTACAATTTTCCCAACCTCCGAATATTCACCTTGGGGGATTACTCACTTATCGATTCCGAACTGCACAACCTTTACGTACGTAAGCCGGCCATACTCATTACATGTAAAATCTCCCCATACTGCATTTGTCCTCCGCTGCCCGATACGGTGCTTACTGTATGCCCTTCATATCGCTGCGTCTTCAAGATCTCTCGGTGGTTTTTTCCAGCCTCCCGCCGCGCCACGTCATACCCTGCTCTCCGTTCCGTATTATGATTGTGGAATCCTGGGGATCTGGCTCAAGGATAAAAAAGGTGCTCGTATTCGGATCCCATGTCCTTTTACGGGTTGGCATCCCCAGAGGCAAACGTCTACGGCTAAAGTCACCTGCGTTTTTGTTAAAACCATGGCGATGATGTCATACTCAACGCCCGCTTACCGAACACAGCATGCAAGATGCAAGAAACCGCTGCATGTGAAGTGGAGGCAAAAAAAGACGGCTGTGGCTTTTGCAAGTTATTCTCGTTTTTTCTTCTTTTGCCTGACGTGCATGGCTCGCGTGGACTTGCAAAAAGACTGCAAGATCAACATGCCCAAGTGCCTTGTCATGTGTGAGTTATGTGGCTGTGGGTTCGTCCCGCGGCTGCTGGATGGAACCGATCGGCAGACGATCTTGTCATGTGGTCATGTCACAACGGTGATCGCGAGGCAATGTCCACATATGCGCCCACAAGGTAGGATTTGCATGTGCGAGCAGTGTGTAAGTGTACGAAGCGTAGATATGATGGATGTGTTGAAGGATGTATTGGTATGAGTAATAATAGTTGTAATAGTAAATGGCATGCGATGCTATGCTAGTATTGTCGCCCAGGGCAATGATGATGGTATGGTATGCAAGTGGTATCATAGAAAAGAAAACACCGAGAAATGCCCATGATGATGTGTGAACGCCATGATCCCCCCATCCCTCCCCTCCCTTCTGTACAGTTCGTAGTCGTAGTTCCTGGTCGCGTTCCAAATGTCTTCATGAACTATCCTCACTGATCGTGCCCTCGCTCACTGACGACATGGATGATTTGCTGTCAGATGGCAAGGGACCAAGTGTCCATCTCCAATCCCTCGTCCGCTTCCGTCGACCGGCAACGGGCGTTTCGGGCGCAGAATCGCTGTCATCTTCGCTGCTGGAAGAATCCCTCTTGTCACCCGCACGCGGTGACTTTCTTGGTGAGCTCTCTGCCGAAGAAGCAGTACTGCTGATGGAGAGCTGAAGAGGCGATATGCTGGTGTTCGAGATGTTGACCGCCGGCTTCAGGCTCAGACTCGGTTTGCCCGTCTCGGCTTCAGACTCGCTTGATGTCGTCTCCACACTGGAAGTCAGTGACGACAGCGTCGAACTACTCGATTCGAGATCGGAGTGTGCGAGAGTGTATTTGGTGGTTGTGATTTCCTCCTCGAGTGGTGTGCGGAAGGAAACACGCTTCTCGGCGGGAAACATAGGGCGGGTTGAGGAGCCCATTTTGCGTGGTATTATTGCGCGGGCAGGGCTGTTGGAGAGGATGGAAGTGAGGTTGTGAGGTTGCTTGTAGGGTATTGAGCTGGTGGCTGAGTCGGTGGAGGCGGATGTGAGTGTTGATGAGAGGGTGGATGCTGAGTTGGGGGTGGTGGGTGCTGGAGCCGGGCGTTCATAGGCGTTGGAAAATGTGTTGCGGACTGTTGGCGATACAGCAGAGAGAGTCTCGAGACGCAGACTGGCACCTTTGCCCAGGATACGCGGTTGCTCAGTGTTGATGGAGAGTTTGGGGCGCAGCGGAGCCTGTCGCGGCGGGGGTATTATAGGCAGCTGGGTAGTCATACTGGACATGGCAGATGATTGCGAGTACGACGGCGTTATCGAGAGGGAGGGGTGTGATGGCTGCAAAGTGGACAGCATCATGTGTTTGGGTTCGCGTGGGCGGAATAGGCGTGTGCCGGGTAGGTTAGGTATGAGGCAGATGATTTGGGCGAGGGGAGCCGATTATTACATGGTCGACGAGGGGCATGTCCCTATTAACCAAACTCGTCTGCTGCATGCCACCAACCGTCCTTGTGGATCCGCAGCGGCGCGCATCCCAACGCGCGGAGGTGCACTTGAACACGAAGCGCCTGGCCGGCGCGCTGCTCCCAAAATACACACTAGTCCGATCCAAAGATAGATGCAGGGTGGCAAAGGCGTGGTCGTGCAGGGTTCCGGGTTCAGACGACTAGCGCACTCGATCTGCAGCCCGCCCACCCAGTGTCGTGATAGGCTACCGTCTGTCCACCACATGTCGCGGCTTCACGCGCGCTTCATCTGCTGCACGCCGCCGAAACATTTCTGCTGCTGCTTCACATCTCAACACGTGCATCGGCGCTTCTCCTTCCTCGCAACAAATCCATGAAGAAACTGAAACGGCAGTCCGACTCCGTCATAGTCCACTTTGTTCGTAAGCACCACGCACAGCCTTGACGCCTTGGTCGCCCTAACTCTTGTCTCGTATCGCAACAGGACTACGTACGTACTTTCTTTACCACGTGCGCCCACGCTTGCGCAATTGAGTAATATCAATCTCGACAGGACTGCTTTTACGCCAGCGTATTTGAACATGAGAACCCGGCATTACGAAGCTTGCCACTGGCTGTGCAGCAAAAACAGATTATCGTCACATGCAACTATGAGGCCCGCCGACGAGTACGAATCTGACCGTGTCTTGTCATTCCCCGCCGCAGTTGACTGAATTCTCTCACAGGGCTTGCACAAGTTGCAGCTGATCCACCAGGCCAAGAAAGTCTGTCCAGATGTAGTCATCGTCCTCGGTGAGGATCTTACTCGATTTCGGAATGCTTCCAAACAACTATACACGTTTTTGCGATCCTTTTCCTGGAACTCACGTGTAGAGAGGCTAGGTTTTGATGAGGTAGGTTTGTCGTCGCTTCTGGTTACCTTGCTTGTCCGTAAAGTTCCCGTCGTGTCTCAACACCGCCACTGTCCTCCATCCCATCTCCTCTTAGTTTTCTCCAAGACCCACATTCCCTGCCATGAATTCATCATCTAAATATCCTCACCGTCTCTATATACGGTATACATCACGCGAGTCATGGCATGCTAAGTCTCGTTGTCAAGGTCTTCCTGGACGTGACCGACATAATCGATTACAACATCAGCATCCTCAACCACAACGATCTGACAAACGCCTTCTTCTGTCTCGCAAAGGAAGATCCCACAAGGGGCTTTCCTTACGATGCGACAAGGCTTACGGGCCATTTGTATCCCAAAGCGGCGAATTATGACTTAGGTAAGCAGAATAAGGCCGTATGACGTACAAGATGTGGCGTGGTTGGCAGATGTTCATGGACCTGAATTCGGCGGGATGCAAGGCTGACAGTCTCCTTGCTGAATCCCTGCGGCTACCGAGACCAGCGACGGCGGCTGTGGTACTGCCACCAACAGTGCGCAGTTTGACGACGCGAGATCACATCTTGTGCACTATAGGATGCTTTACATGATCGTTAGTCCAAAGAACTGATGCGTCTGCAGGAACCCCACCGAATCTGCTGCAACTTCGATTGGCGCTGGGAAGTCATTTTGCACATTATCTTCGTGCCAAACTCCACCAAGACACAGGTTATACAGCTACTGTTGGCATTTCTACCAACAAGCTTCTAGCTAAGCTTGTAGGCAATACACACAAGCCTGATGCTCAAACCACACTCCTCCCGTCGAGTACCGAGGACGGGAATGCGGGTGTGGATGTCGACAACGTAACCACCTTCATCGACGACCACGAAGTCGGCAAAATCCCTGGTATTGGCTTCAAATTAGCACAGAAACTCCGTGCTCACGTCTTACAACGACCTGCAGATTTTGATGCCGGACTTGTTTATGGCGGCACCAAAGAACCTGTTCTTGTCCGCGATGTAAGAACGTTTCCTGGTATGGGTCCTGAGTCGCTTGAACGTTTGCTTGGCGGTCCAGGTGTACCACATGGTACCGGCTCACGCATCTGGGGTCTACTGAATGGATGTGATGATAAGCAGGTTGGACAGGCGAGAGAGATACCCCGCCAGATTAGTATTGAGGATAGCTATATGCGTTTGGATACTTTAGAGCAGGTGACTAAAGAGCTGAGGATGCTTGCGAGGAGATTACTCGAGAGGATGCATACGGATCTACTGGAAGAAGACGATGATGCAGAAGATCAAAATACAGGCTCATACACCTCGAGACCAATGAAGCGGTGGCTAGCCCATCCTAAAACCCTCCGCTTGTCAACTCGGCCACGCCCACCCCAGAATCCAGATGGAAGCCGCAACAGGTCTTTTGCTCGGATATCAAAGTCCACGCCCATGCCCACATTTGTCTTCAACCTCAACGCAGCTACAACCACCGACGCTATCGTTGACAAGCTACTTACCGAGGCATTGCTGCCTTTGTTCCGCAAACTCCACCCACAGAAACGAGGGTGGAATTTGAGCCTCGTCAACGTTGCTGCGACCAACATGGCTGATGCGGCGAGCGAGAGAGGCGGCATCGGACGGGACATTGGCAAGATGTTCAAGCGCCAGGATGAGGTGCTCAAACAATGGAGGGTAGAGGAAGAACCAGATCGATTTGAAGAAGAGCGTCTAGAAATAGAGGAGCCCAAGGAAACTCAAGCTGAACAAGAAGAACTAGTAATGTCAGACGTCTCGTTTGAGCGAGGGGATGTGATGATGGACGAGTGTGATGGGGGTAGTAGGGAAGAAGGCGGGACCATCGAGGAACCTGAAGTCCACAACCAGAAAGAGGAAGATAATGAATATGATGATGAATATGAATGGCTGGAGGAAGACGAGCTTGCTCATCGTGAACCACGCTTTCTCCTGATGCAGTTGGAGAAGCAGCTTCAGGGAGACGATTCGGATCAAGGCGAGCAACAGATCTTGTTGATGCAATCACCTTCTTCGACAGAAGAAGAAGAGAAAGAAGAACACTTGTCCCAAGAGCTCTGGCTAGCAGAATGGAAAAGCGAACTCGCAGAAGACAACGCCGTTCTACAAAGACATGGCTCCGAAGACTTCCCTACGGCGTCACAGGACGTGGAAGCTACTGTCAGTGATGTCTGGGAGGCAGAAGACGACGATGATATGATGGATGCGGAGGATGCGTTTCGGTGCGAAGAATGTGGAGCAGTCATGCCGATATTTGCGTTGGGTGCACACTATCGGTGGCATGAGCACATGTAGTTGACGAATCGCTTGGGAATGCCTTGTAATTCCGAATTTAAAAGGGACATGCAGAGGCTACACTCCCCCACTTAGACTCAGTAATCAAGCAATACGTGTTACATACTCGCGAAAGAACCACAGGTTCCAGATTAATCGTTTTCTCCATGTTGAACAGTTCTGATTGTGCAGTTAATACATGCCGCTTATACGACACATTTTCACATCCTCCTACTTTACGTCATCGTGGCTACAAGAGCATCACAATAAAACGTTCCTCGCGTTCGACCTTGTCAATGTCTTTCGATTATCAACGTCGTTGTTGTACAGTGTGATACATACGCTTCTCCACTCCATTTACATCTCCACCCTTGGTCCATTCGCCGGTGCAGATGAAGAAGCATCAGGAATCCTTGCGGCCGTCTGCTCAAGCGGCTCCTTCCTCCTCGGTCTCTTGAGATCTTCTGCCGTAATACCGTTCAAGCCCACCTTTGTAAGACCCATGACTGGCGCATCACCCTTTTTGACAAACTCATACAGTCCCGGCAATTTGTTACCCGCAAGCCTAAACGCATCCCTCACCACCTGCTCGTGCAAGTCTCCCTGAATCTCAAAGATAATCTTGCTCACCGCCACCCTCGACGTCCAGCGGTCAAAACTTCCTTTGCCCTTTCCCATTCGCACGTCGTTGCCAGACGTGTACACACCAATGTTGGCAGCGATGCGCATGTAGAGGCGGAACTTCATGCCACGGAGACGCTTGCGAATGGTTTCCTCGGCGATGCGGAGTTGATGGGCGGATATGCGTCGGTCGTGGTCACGCATGCGCAGGCCGTAGTCGCCCCAGACCACGGTTGTGCCGCGCATGGAGCCGCCGGTGGGGACGCGACAGCGGCCTTTGCGTGATTTGCGTGACTCTCCGGCTTTGGGGGCGAGGTAGTTGAGGCGGGTGGGAGTTGTAGAGAAGAGGCGGGCGGAGGAAAGAACACTAGGTGCTATGGTTTGGGGTTTAACAAGGCATGTCTGTTGTAGTACTTTGGGCCGTTAGCGGAGGCGATGAGAGAATTACGACATTCATACGTGTTGGCCGCGATGCAGAGATATTCAATCGACTGAATTGAGCCATCAGGCTTTGTGATATCCTTGGCGGCGGCATGGCGTTGTGATGTGATATCGGACTTGAGCTGTTTGGTAACTTTGGTGTTGAAGTTCTGATGCCAAGACCTAAATGTGGCTGCTGTGGCGCATGCGGGCGGGGAAAGTGCGTCGATGCGCCTGCCTAATTGCCTAATGACCGCGCGATTCGCGAAGTCGCGTCGTGCACGTCAACGGAGGCCTGGCGTTCATCAATCCACCCAAACCCCATCCCCACCCATTGCCGGGCTCAACAGCTGTCTGCAAACGCGACACCCTTCTCGGCACTAACAGTACGCGTTTTGTATCAAAAAAGATGCCTGCCGATATTCGCAGCTTCTTTGGCGGCGGACCCCCGAAGGGCAGCCAGGACGCAAAGAAGAAAGATGAGCCTGCGCCGAAGAAGGCCGCACCCAAGAAGAAGGGACGCGCAAGTCGAGTTGTAGAAGACTCTGACGATGACGATGAGGAAGAAGCGAAGTGAACAACCCTCACTGTTCTGGCGACGTCAAAACTGACAGTACATAGGCCCAAGAAAACCACACCAAAGAAGCCAGCCGCGAAGAAGGTCAAGCGCGAGCCGACACCAGAACCCGTACTCGAAGAGACTACCACATCCGATTTCTTTGCCAGCTCAAACAAACCCAAGCGAACCGGGCCAGTCAAGAAAGCTGTGGACGAGCCTGCTACAACACCAAAGAAGGCGCCTGCAAAGGCAAATGGAAAAGCGTCAAAAACGGCTACTCCGGCATCTACCACAAAAACATCTGGTCGCACAAAGAAGCCCGTCACATCCTATGCCGAGCGGGACGACGAAGATGAATTCCCGGACGATGACCTAGACGACGCAGACGACATTTTCCAAGACAACATCAAGGGCAAGGGCAAGGGCAAGGACGATTATAAGGAAGAGCCAGAGAGCGGCGACGATATGCCTGTACAGTTGCCACATCGTGGAACACCGAAAGCGCCCGCAAAACAGCAAAAAACGACCAAAGACGAAGACGATTTCGATCCGGAAGACGAGGATGTCGACATGAAAGACATCGACGCGGAAGACGATTTTATTCAGCCTGACGAAGATGAACAAGCGCTTAAGAGTAAGCCAAAGAAGACATCGACTGCAGGCAAGAAGCGCAAGTCACCCATACCAGATGAGGAAGACGAGAGCGAGGAGGAAGACGAAAAGCCCAAGAAAAAGGCACCGAAGAAAGCCGCGCCAGCAAAATCGCCGGCGAAGAAGAAGGCTAAGAAGGAGGAGCTTGAAGACAGCGCAGATATCCAGGCCATCTACGACAGCATTCCTACCGTGCGAGCACCCACACCTCCACCCAAGGACGAAAACGCCAAGTTCAACTGGCAAGCAAACGCGGGCCGTGGCGATGTTGCGCCTGCTGGAGGCTCATCTGGTGACATGCCACAGGGCTCAGACACATGTCTTGCAGGTCTAACATTTGTTTTCACTGGCGTACTACAGAAATGGGGTCGGACAGAAGCCCAAGAGCTCGTCAAGCGACATGGCGGAAAGGTCACTGGTGCTCCAAGTAAGAAGACCAGCTATGTTGTATTAGGAACAGATGCTGGTCCTAGCAAACTGCAGAAGATTCGGGATATGGACATCAAGACAATCGACGAAGATGGACTGACACAACTCATTGAGAAACTGACGGCAGCTGGCAACAAGGGTGACAGCAAAGCCCAAGCTGAGTATGCTGAGAAGCAACGCAAAGAGCAAGAGAAGATTGAGAAGCAAGCTGCCGAGCTCGAACAGGAAGAGAAGAAGCGCCAAAAAGAGCAGGCAGCGGCACAGGCAGCAGCCAGTAAGAAATCGGGCTCAACAGTTTCAGCAGCTACTTCCAGTACAGGTCCTGCTGTCGACTCACGGTTGTGGACCACCAAATATGCGCCCACATCACTCACTCAAATATGTGGCAACAAAGCAACCGTCGAGAAGATACAACGCTGGCTGCAAGCTTTCCCGAAGAATCTCAAGACTGGTTTCAAGTTGGCCGGTAAAGATGGTAGCGGAGTATTCCGTGCCATCATTCTGCATGGTCCGCCTGGTATCGGCAAGACTACTGCAGCGCATCTTGTCGCAAAGCTCGAAGGCTATGACATTGTTGAAAGGAATGCTAGTGATACCCGGAGTAAGAAGCTGATCGAAGATGGTCTACGTGGTGTTCTGAGCACCAACTCACTCCACGGGTACTTTGCTGGAGATGGAAAGCAGGTTGAAGGATCAAGGAAGAAGCTCGTTCTCATCATGGATGAAGTCGACGGCATGTCTGCGGGTGACCGCGGTGGTGTCGGTGCGCTCGCAGCTGTCTGCAAGAAGACAGAGGTTCCCATGATCCTCATTTGCAACGACAGGAAGTTGCCGAAGATGAAGCCATTCGATTACGTTACCTACGATTTGCCCTTCCGACGTCCCACTGTCGACCAGGTACGGTCGCGTGTTATGACTATTGCTTACCGAGAAGGCTTGAAGCTGCCTCCGACAGTTGTCAACGCACTCATCGAAGGCAGCCATTCCGACATCCGGCAGGTTGTCAACATGATTTCCACCGCCAAACTCGACCAGGAAGCCATGGATTTCGACAAGGGCAAGACAATGTCCAAGAACTGGGAGAAGCATGTCATCTTGAAGCCATGGGATATTACACAGAAGATTCTCGGTGGCGGTATGTTTGCCTCGAGTAGCAAAGCCACGCTCAATGAGAAGATTGAACTCTACTTCAACGACCATGAGTTCAGTCCATTGATGTTGCAGGAGAACTACCTCGGCACAAATCCCATTCTATCTGGGCAGTACGGAGGCAAAGAGAAGAATCTCAAGAATCTTGAGCTGGTATCGCAAGCGGCAGATAGTATCAGCGACGGTGACCTCGTCGATCGTATGATTCACGGCTCCCAGCAACAATGGAGTTTGATGCCTACGCACGCCGTCTTCAGCTTCGTCCGCCCCGCCAGTTTCGTCTCCGGCAGCACAGCCGGAAACGGGACGCGATTTACATCGTGGCTGGGCAAGAATAGTACCACCAACAAACTCAGTCGCATGATCAAGGAGATTCAGGCACATATGCGGTTACGCTCTTCTGGTGACCGCCACGAAGTTCGGCAGCAGTACGTCCCGCTTCTCTGGCACGACTTGGTAAATAAGCTGCAGAAGGAAGGAAAAGATGCTGTTTCCCAGGTCATCGAGCTGATGGATAGCTATTACCTTACTAAAGATGACTTTGACGCGATTATGGAATTGGGAGTTGGGCCGATGGATCAGGAGAAGGTTAAGATTGATAGTCAGACCAAGTCTACCTTTACACGACTGTAAGTTCCTTTTTCCCAGACCCTCATCCGCTCACTTGCCCTCTTGGATCTATGCTAACAACGTTGTAGGTATAATCAACAATCTCACCCTCTCCCTTTTATGAAAGCGTCATCCGTTACGGCACCGAAAGGTAAACAAGCGAAAGAGAAACCAGATCTTGAAGAGGCGATTGACGAGAGTGATGATGGCGAGCTTGTGGAGGAGGTCAAGGACGAAGAGGAAGATGTTGACTTGAGCAAGGACAAGTATGTCAAGCAGCCCAAAAAGAAGGCGGCGCCCAAGAAAGCTGCAGCGAAGAAGGGAGGGAAGAAGAAGAAGGATGACGATGACGAGATGGAGGATGACGAAGATGAAGAGGATGTTAAACCGAAGGGCAAGGCCAAGGCCAAGGCTGTACCCAAGGGAAAGAAGAAGTGAGCTGGCAGATGATGGCGGAGTAACAAGGAGGGAATTGAGCGTGTAGGTATATGAGCAGTGTACAACATGGTCCATGGGTGGTTCTTCTTCAAGTTGAATTAGTATGCTAAGCGTGTCTATAGAGTAGCTTATGTTGACTTGATCGACGTGTAAATCTATATAGCAAATTCGCCAAGCTGCGGCGCATAGCAGCATACATAATTTAGTATCTGTTTCAAACCTAGAGACTTCAGAGTGCATCCAATAAAGTGCGGATACCCTGTGGCGTCATCACATGCGCTCGATGCACAAACACCGCCGTGTAGATTAACATGCAGTAGCCTGCATGTATTGAAACACGGCAGCGGCTATCTGTCCATGATTTGGAAGACTCACACCGACAGACCACCACACTGAGGGCATGGTCTCAATGCTAAAGAAGCGGTCGGTGAGGTGTGGAGAGGGTGTTTGTTCGGGACGCACCACCCCGCTTCTGTGAGAAGCCGCATCGTACGCAACTTGGCGCACCAATCATCGACCGCTTGGACGGCGACTTGGGTCGCCGAGTATCAAGAGTGACGCGACGGAGGTGGTTTGGCGAGTAGTTGTGTCCATGATACGATGGATTGCTGCGTAAAAGGTGGTGGAGTCGATGAGGGTACCTCTGCAGAGCCGCAACTGAGCAAGTATTTCTACCGGGTTTGGCTCTCCCCGATATATGTTTGCGGCGTGGAATATAAGGACGCTATATCTCCGTGACTCAATAGCAAACGGACAAACCCCACAGAGACGATACGCTAAGCCTTACCCTTCTTGTTAGCATCGTCACTGCCGACACCATGCCGGGCGAAGTTACGCCCTCTCAAACGCCCAGTGAGTTGCGATTCGCTTGTATTGCCTTGCATCGACATCGTTCGCAAGGCTGAGAATGGCCCTTCTCCAATGATTGCCAGCAGGCTGAGGCTGACAAGGCGTGCGCCACAGCAGCCCACCCCGCCAGTCGCACAGGCATGTCGCTGGCCGCCCTCGGACTCGACAATCGCGGCCGCGTCAACCACACGCTCAACGACTGGGTACGACAGCCCGATCTTTCGGCTCGATTAGTGCGCTTCGACGACGAGTATCTCCGGGGACTGGAGCAGATCGACATCGACATCGAAATTGAGAGCCTGTTGGACGCGGCAAGCACAATTAAGAGCGACCCGTCCATGGCTCCTGCCCTCCTCCACCACCAGACTCACCCCGAAACGCACAACCCACCCTCATTGCGCTCCTGCGTCACGACCGCAACCCCCACCGAAAGCAGCATCAGTACCAACCTCGCCAGCCGCTTTTCCGGCGTTCCCTTGCTCGAAGACAACAATGGCGTACTAGAAATACCCCGCGCGCTGCACGCTACAACACCCCTCTACGAATGCGCCTTCTGGTTCCTCAACTGCGGATACGTCTCGCAGCACAGAGAAGAATGGGAAACGCATTGCTCGTCGCACTTTCGCGGCGAGGAACCGCCTCAGACGGTGCAGTGTCCACTGTGCGACTGGGCGGCGACGTGCGACCTGGGCCGACATGCGTGGAGCATGCGCATGCAGCATCTGAGCCAAGAACACACGATGCGGGGCCAGACGCTGCGTACGTCGAGACCGGATTTCGGTCTCTTCCAGTACTTGTGGCAGAGGCGGTTGATTGACGATGCGGATCTCAAGGAGCTTAAAGGTGGGAATCATAACTTGACACATGCGCCGGGGAACTTTGTCGAGATGAATGACCGGAGGGGACATGATAGGAATAGTAGGAGACATCGTCCTGGGGCGCAGCATGCGAGAGTTCCGCCGAGATTACTGGAATCACGCGGGTACTGATGTTGCTGAGAGTTGTTGTCTGGCATATCCTACACCTACATCTTGCCGCGTCGTTTCCTTTCCTTTCCTCGACATGGCTTATCTTTCCTGTATCTTGTTCTCTTTTCGGTATCTTCTCTTTTGGCGTTTTTCTTTTACTTGATATCAGTGTTTGTCCACAGATTGGTATACCCCGGACACAAAAGCATAGCTTGGGAGTTTGGCGTTGCTTGCGAACAATGTAGATGCCCGTTAATCAGTTGTAATAGAACGATGGGGCTTGATGGGCTCAAGGGCTATATACTGTTTCCATCCAACCTAGTTCTTCCTTTCCGACTAACCCCCAATTCAGCTCTCGATGCAGTAGTTTCCCCATTCACGCACTCAACGAGTGGACCTGATTCGTTACAATCGAATCAATATTTACCTCATCGTCATCTTCAGCCGCCAGCAGACGGCTCGCGTCCCGCAGTTGAAACGCGTCTGCCTGATTCTTGTGTTACCGATGCGGACTAGCGAGGTCCATGAGAGGAAGGCCCAACCTGGGCTGGAAGAAAAAAGTGTGTCAGATCCTGTTAGAACGATGAAATGAGAGATACAAATTAGGATGGAAAGACTATGAGCATGGTAGTGTATGAGAGTATGGTTGTTGTCGTTAAGTCTGCCTCTGTGCGCGCCCAATGAGCCAATGGGCGCTACAGCTGTCATACGTAACTACACTAACCACTCCATCACAGTACTATTAGTATTGTTGTGTAATAAAGCTAGAGAGTGTGTGTATATCGCCATGTTCTGCTGCAGCTCGCTTATTTTAGTATGGGTCTAGAATTCAAGAGTTGGCTTTTTGATTCAACCACGTGCTGCAATACTGTTACTCAGCTGAAGATCTGCATACAATACTGCAACACTAATTCTCAGCTGAAGACGCGCAAAGACACTCGGTCCCAATGTTTGTTTTTCCAACTGAGGTCACTGTGATGAATACCTCCTCCATCTCCATTGATAAAGCATTCCGTTGCATATTTCACGGTTGCTTCGTCTGTACATCTGCTTCCTCAACACACTTAGTTCCAACAACCCTCAGCTTTCATTAATTTACCTTCAACATGGCCACCACCTGCGAGGTGTCAGGCAACTCCGACATGTACGGCCTCGGAATTCGAATTGGATTCTATCTCCAATGGATGTCGTCGCCAGTAGCCGCTTGGATCGCAAAGGATGAGACGTCCGGTCTACGGACAGCGAACGCCTTCTTTGTCTCAGCAACTTTCATCGGCCTCATCATCGAAACTGCATTGAATCACCTTGACGTTGTCGAGATATACGTCATCCTATTGTTAGGGTTTGGCGCTCAATACTCCTGGCTGATCGCGATTCTCTGGCGTGTAGCCACCCACTTCAACGCCTATTGGGATCCGGCAAGGCACATGAGAACCCCACCTCCGTCTAAGATGTTTTGGTTCCTCTACACAATCATTCAGATTGCTCAAATCGTCTTTCAACTCTGGTTCTGGTTGTACAAGATTCCAAGAACGGATAACGAATGCGCGCGGTTCGGGTTCGCTTTCTTCAGGGTTAGGTTGACCAACAATGGCTTCCGAATCTTCAACGTCGTTGTCATGGTAGTCCTACTGGTGCTTACATTAGTCTTTTTTGCCTTGCATTTCCGTCAGCTTTGGCGTGAAGGTAGACTCCTGCGATGGGCTAACCTAGCAGCGATGATCCAGCTTGAGGTCCACAAGAAGAGAAAGCGAGAGTATGAATCCCTGACATGCTTTCGAGTTGTGCTGACTGGATGCACAGTTATGTCCTAGAAATACCAGAACGAGAACGAGAGAACGAGCAACAGCAACATCGACAGTTAGATGGCAAACACGACGAGGCCGAGCAATTTCCTACCAATGTGCCCTCTGCTGCTCCACCGTCCGAGAAGCCAGGCTCGAAATCCGATCCCACCAAGACGTCTGTTCGCTCCGAGGCCGAACCAGAGAGGAAGATAATTGAGATTGAAGAGACGCGACATCATCAAGACGAGTGTGCGACTTCATACACTGCATTAGAGCAAGAGGTGCAAAGCTTGCAGGATGATAAAAGGGCGTTTGAGGAACTGGTAGCCACGCTACAAGAAAAAATCAGACATTTGGAAGTCCTAGATGAGTGGGAGGAGTCGAGCCGTTACCTAGAAGAACGAGGAGAAGAAGAACGAGAACGCGAACGAGAAGAAGAAGAAGAAGAACGAGAAGAAGAAGAACGAGAACGAGAAGAAGAACGAAAACGCGAACGAGAAGAAAAACGAGAGAACGTCCTCTGCATCATTGAGACGGTGTTTCGTGTCGCATCAATCGCAATGGTGATCCTTGTCACTGAATTGACGATAGCGTGGAACAAGATCCAAGGTGTGAACGATACCAAATCCGTCGGCCAACTCATCCCACTGATGATTGGTGTCGGTGGTATCGGGCATGTTCTTCTTGAAGCGATTAGAAAAGCGATTAGAAAAGCGATTAGAAAAGCGGCTAGAGAAGCGAGTAGAGGACCGACGCCTGTGGACGAAATAGTGCAGGAGCACTCTCCCGATGAGCCGTTCAATATTACTTATTATCTCGCGTCTGACGAGGAGCGGCACAATACGGCTTGTTCTATCGCGTCTATCTCAAAGAAAACGAATGGGGAGAGGCTAGCGACATGGGCCAGCGACATGTTACGGATGTTCTAGCTGAGGTTCTGGATCTCACTCCGCTTCGGTCAACCTCTATCTTAAGTCAATAACGATAGACATGTTGGGAGTAAGAACTTCTGTCCAGAATACAAGTGTCCAGGCCTAGCTGCTGATAGCGGTGGGTGCGCTTGTTTCGTCAACGCCATGTTTGGTGCGTGCAGCAATCTTTCCGCATTCCGACCATTCAGCCCGCTCAGACTGCAACTCTGTATACCAGCACCACGGAATGCACGAGGTTGAAGTTTGCATTTGGGGGAGGTTTCTTTTAAAACTAAAACTGATATGTTCATCATTCATAACTAGAGATATCATCAAATAATCCAGCTCAAAAACGTGTTATCCCCAACCATCTCATCTGCGCCAGCTCTTGCCAGCCGATTCTTCTTTCTGGACATGGTACTTATACGCCCAAGCAAAACCGTGTGCGTGCATCTAGTACACGTAGAAGGTCATGTTCTCGCTGTCGCGCTCCTTCAGCTGCTTGTTCTTGCGCACGAAGAGAATCTTCGCAAGCCACGCCAACAGCGCAGTCGCAACAGAGAATGCAGCAGACGAGCTAAGCGCAATGATGTATTTTGGCTCGTCAGACTTGGGCCATAGGTATGGTGTCCTAAAGATATCACTGTTAGCTCTTGCTTTTGAGTTTATCCGAAAAAGGAGCGGTTTGGAGGAAGAGAGGAGGCTTACCAGATGAACGAGGCGTTCATGACAGTGGTGACAATACCGATAGCGACGGCCTTCTTTTCGGGTGTCTGACCACACGTCGATCCACACCAACCCAGAATCAAGGAGTTGACACCATAAGTACCGATTGTGAAGATGATCATGGCGACATAGCGGCCCGCGGTACCGATATCAGCACAAGCCAATCCAAAGCCAAACGTTGCAACGGCCTTGGAAATAGTAATATGCCACGTACGCTCGTTGAACTTGCCAGAAGACCATGATACTGCAATGGTAACCGCACCAGCGATGAGGTAAGGCGGGCACGTCAGAACAAGAGTAATGGTCTTTCCGAAGCCGAGCGTCGCCACGACGGTAGGGAAGAAGTTCTTGAACCTACAGATGTGGAGATGCGAAGTCAGTGTAGGTCTCACATGTATTTTGTACAATCATAACTTACCCGTTGGCAGCGAGATGCATGTGTGCCATGAAAGCGAAGATCCAGACCATGGGGTCCTTGCCCGCTTGACGGAAACCAGCCCACACTGACGTCTCGCCCTTGTTGCCGACGGTGTCGAGCGCCATGCGGTTGGTGGCGAGATCGCGCTCTTCTTGCGTCAACCACCAAGTGTTGTGTGTAAAGTCGGGAAGAAGGAAGAAGCCGACGACGGCGATGACAAACGTAACGGCTCCTTGCAGGATGAACAACCACCGCCATCCCGTGATGCCACCAACGTCGCCGAGGCCGTGGAAGATTCCTGCTGCGATCAGGCCGGCAAAGGCGGTTGCGAGGATGTTTCCGGTGTAGAGGATGGCGATGCGGGTTGCGACTTCTTTGCGGGTGTAGAAGGTGGAGAGGAGGTAGACAGCACCGGGGTAGTAAGGCGCTTCTGTGACACCGAGGAAGAAGCGTGTTAGAAGGAGGCCAGTAAAATCTTTGGAGAGGGCTGTGAGAGCTGAGACGACGGCCCAGAGCATCATGCAGATGCCCATGTATCGCGATGGACGCGTTCGGTTGAGGAACATGTTGCTGGGGATCTGGCCAAGGAGGTATCCTACAAAGAGAATGCTCACGCATGTCTGGTACTGGCTGCTGGTAAGGTTCAGATCTTCTTCAAGATCATCGAGACGAGCTAGTGCGATGGCATTGCGATCTAGATAGAAATGTACGTTAATAAACAATCATCGTGGCAGATATCATTGTCGCGAGACCAGTGACTTACCAAGATAGTTGAGCCAGTACATGCTCCACAACATGGGCATGATCCATCGGTCGAGTTTCTTGACAAGCGCAATCTCTCTGGGATCAGTCTTCTCGTAAGCACCAGAGTAATCCACCTTGCCAACAATAGGCACGGGCTTCATGAGCTCCTCATCCCGAGTTTGCGTCTGCTCGAGCTGGACGATCTCATTCTTCTTGGAGTCGAACATGATGTGGAAGTGCTCAACGGACTAATTGCAAGTATCAAGTTGAGATAGGAAGAGTGTGTGGGAAAGAAGCCCTTTGGATCAACCGAAGCGTGAGCTGCTTGACCTGGGGAAGCCACAATCCGGGGACGTGGAGTGAGACTCTTATACACCTTAGGCTCCCTGCCCACTCCCCAGAAGGTAGCATGGTGTTGTGGATCAACATCGCCCCCAGATCATCTCTAGTCCCCATCTTCCGAAATCACACGACAATTGTCTAGGTACCTCCGCGCATGCATAGCCTCCAAGACATCCAAGCGCGCTTCTTCCGGCCGCCTTGGACAGTTGTGAGGCTTGATGGCGCTTGGGGTATGGGGTCGGGGGGTCTCCGGTGGCAAGTGTGCCCGCTTGCTTGGTCTTGGAAACTGACTATCAGTGTGCGTTCTACCATATATCGCATATTATGCAAACATGCGGCACATAGTCTTGGAGGTTCGACCCTAGAAGCTGGGCATACCTAGCGGCCAGGTAGTCTGTCGCCTTCACCGGGATCTGGCTTGGACTGATACATCGGAGCCGGTGTTCGGTGGTCTCTTATTCGGTCTAGCGATGTCCGGATCGTGTACTCTCTAGTTCAGCTGATTGTAGTCGCTCTCACACCATCGCACAAATATCTACAGTTCCAAAGAGAAGTGCAGATTCATTGCAAAGACAATCAACGGCTTCTGTCATGCAATCACCTCTCCCACCTCTTCGTCAACCCCTCCTCGCTGACGTCGCGATGAACATATGCCAAACGGCACTCATCCCAGGAAGGTAACCCGCAGAAAACCAAGTCGTTTTCCCGACAGCATCATCGTCTTGATGCTCCGATAACCTTACTCATGACTGGTTCCGGTGAGAAGCCCAGCCCCGACCCTGGAGTCTCCGTGGTCTTGTCGCAGAGAAAAGGCGTATTGGCAAGTTGGCAAGCCACCAGAATCTTGGTGTTGCGCCATGTCAAGTGCTTTCATGGCTTATTAGAGCCAGCGCATTGTTGCACTTGGGGCCTAGGCCAAGTAGGCCGAGACAGGTCCAAGATCTTGACCTGGGCCGCATTGCGGGGAAACGAAGAGACGGCGCGCACGCTTGTGGCACGGATGGGGTCTTAGACGTACTTTTTCCAGTGCGTGGTTTATGGGTCGCGCTTAGAGCCTCGTGCAGCTGGATGACAGAACTCCGTAGGAAGCTTGTACATGTGGTTTAGTGCAAGGTTTCGTCTCGAGGCCGTTGCTAAGTTGAATGAGCTAAAACTCTTTCCGCTGCGAATTGGACCAATCAAGACGGGGCCAAGTCAGTCCGCCGGGCCTTCATCGTCTTGGCTCTTCATAAATCGTGCGACTGTCCATAACTTTCCTTGGTTTCTCCACGGGGCATACCGGGTTCATTTTTCGGGAAGTGTTGTAGCTGAACATTGTATGCGCCGCGTTGATGGTTCTTGGTATAGCTGCCGTTTAAGCGGTGCCTCAGGTATAGCATCGGTGCAGCTTCCGTGCCAATGCCATGGAGTGGAATCGCAGTGGATATCGTTTCGACCACGTGCTCAAGAGAAAATACCGGGTCGTCCTCGTGATCTTCACGGCCGTGTCGACCTGGTGGGCGGGTGCAAACGTGAAGGTAGGTCGACAGAGCGCGCAACGTCCACTACCCCATGGGGGTGGAGCAAAACCGTCTTCCGGCGCGTTGGAAACCTGTGTCGATTGCTACTGTAGGCACGGCCTTCCATCGACAAAGTAGTAGCATGAACCAAACGAGGACGTCAGGTCGCTTCTTGCGCAAACAGTTGCGCAATGGTGGCAAGCACCACTACTTATGTCGACAACGTTACGATGCATCCTACGGAAAAGTATCCGGGATCTTCTCCAAATGACCAGCCGACGCGACACGCATGCACCAAGAGAGTGGGGACAGTTTGAACTTCAGAGCCATTCAGTCCGCTCACTCCGCTCACACGGCAACGCCAGTCGGGTTTGGAGGAAAGAATTCTAGGTATTACGAAACTAGCATCAGGATATCTACGAACGAAAACTACACTTTGAATAAAAAACGCCGAGTTCTCTTTACAACGCAAGTCGCTAATCCAATTCCTTAGGCATCAAACCCACGCCTTCAACTCCTTTTCGGTCCACTCCCACAGCTCCTTCGCAAGCGCTTGATCCCTCCCTCGCTTCGTACTCGGCGTCGTCTTCACACCCACGGGCTCATAATAAGCGCCATTTACCAAATTCTCCTTCTTGGTGGTGGCCGCCCACGTCTGGTTGTATGCACCTTGCTCCGTATCCAGCCAATTTCCGCCCGAAACGAGATTCACAATCTGACGATCCATGAAATTTGTGCTCGCAAAGATGTCCGTCTTGATGAAGCCCGGATGGACCGCGACGGACGTAATGCTAGGATGATGAGCAGCTAACTCCGTGGCGTATAGCAGGTTCGCTAGCTTGGACTGCGAATAGCAGACCCACTTGTTCAGTGCGAAGAACGACCCGTAGTTTGCACCCTCAGTCTTCAGTTTCTGGAACTCGATGC